ACTATAATTCGGATGAAAACTACACTACACTACACTTGACAATAAAGAAAAATGTAAGTAGAAAGTGTGGTATGCAAAACATAGTACGTGTAGTCGTTCAATGTGTACAAGTCATGTATAATGTTTCAAATATTGTTTTACTAATCTCGGACTGAAATTGATATCTTGTGACTCAAAATGGCATATGGTCGTTTTAAAAGTATCGTTGTCGTTTAGGGTTTCGGGCTTAGGGTATAGAGTTTTGGATATATGGTTACATTTATAGTATTGGATGATATTCCGAACATTAGTTTACTAGTTTTATAGTGAAATCGAAACTTTTTGACTCAAAACAACATATATTGTCGTTTTGCTCGTAGGGGTGCCATTTAGGGTATAGGATATAAAAAATATCGAATATGTAATCATTCAACATGTATAAGTGAAATTCGAACCTTACTACTCGGAACGACATATGATTATTTTACAAGTATGATTGCCGTTTAGGGTATATAAAACATAGAACATTTCGAACTGAAATCGATCCGCTACCTAAAATGGCACGTGAAAATTTGAACAATATGTTGAATATATAGTTCACACAAACATGAAATCGAGATACTATTGCCCAAAACGATATGTAATCGTTTTAAATGAACGAGTATCATTTATACTAATTTCGTATTTATTTCACTTCATTTTCACTCGTTAGCACTTGAAAGTGTAAGGATGAGAATTTTGACTAAATTTTGATGTGACGATCTACACAAAGTTCAAACAATAGTAAGTAACATTATATATTTTTTTGGAAATTACACCACACTCGACAACGAACGAAAAATATAATACATCTATTCGTTCAAGAATACAAGTCTTCTATCACTTCCAAACATTCATTTACTAGTTTAGAGTGAATGATATATAGTAATTTTAAAAGTATAGGTGTCGTATCTACTAATATCGTGTCCATTTTTCACTCGTGTAATAGCGCGTGCAATCATAACTCTTTGCTTTTGCCCATCAAAAAGTTGAACACATCGCTCACCAATTTTAGTCAAATAGTCCTCCGGAAGGGCAATGATGAAACTATGTGCATTAGTGAGCTTTGCTGCTTCTATAATCTCTTTTTGTGGCTCCCTCTTAGCCATAAGAATATTTTCGGATTAATATGGCAAAATCAGTCGGCTCTTGTTGTACCAATCCGATGTGTTTCCTTAAAAATTTGAGCTTCAGTTTCTTGATGTCTTTGCCTGTGTAAGTTTTACAATATCATTAAAATCAAATAATAATTTGGAGACTTAAGTGTGTGTTTTGCAAAAAAGGATTGAATACTACTAGATAATATTGTCATAGATATGCTGGTCAAAGTAAACACAAATGAAAATTCTCACCGATATGCTTAATGTTTCAATCAACGTCTACATCGCCGGACTAAAATTTTAGGTAACAGAATACTTTAAAGAATAGCAACACCAGCATAAATAAGATAAGATGACGTAAAATAGTTCTAAAGCAACATCTACAAGATATTCCCATTTGAACTTTGAATAAGCTACTACTGAAGCACCTAGCACCGAATTTAACCAAAAATAAATGCCAAAAGCAAGAAAGAATGATTTAGCAACAGGTATATTACTAGGTTTAATAGAAAATTACCAAACTTCAAAAATATAGAAAACGCCTATCTACAAATCTACAAACCAGTGAACTAGTTGACCAATGAAATTTGCGTGAAATGAAAAGTATGATTCAAGTTGTTTACTAGTACATCGTTGATCAGACATGAATCACAAGCAAGGTAGAGAATTTCCTTATTTTAGCATATGGACTATTAACACCTCTAATTTGTAGAATCAATGAAAACAACAGGGTATCCTTAGCATTCCTTTCATGGGCCTTGAATACATCTAGTCAAAAGTTGCTTTATTTTGTAATTAAACATGATCATTGTCATTAGAATTTACCAAAGCACGTAAACCATTCGATATTGCAAGACATGGCTTTCAGGTGATAAAATAAAAAAAAAATCGCTAAATGTTACACCATGTTGTTGAAGGAAAAGAAAAAAGAAGCTCCCACTTGATGATAATGGAAGTAGATCCCTCAGTACCAACTACCAAGTGCAAGAGATAACTGCCAACTACTTACTGACTAAATGCATACTCCTACAAAAGTAAATTTTCAAATAAGGGAATACAAGAGAGAAAAAAGTGTGTGTATAGGCCCTCAAATCAAAAGTCATAATCAACATGGACCTTATGTTTAGGAAATTAAGTCAAAGCTCGCACCATCAAATATGAACCACCTTAAAAGGGCTTAGTGAATGAATGAATCAAATTTTCAAAATTCTTTTGTTTTATTACAACAAAATTAAACAACTAATTAAAATTTAATTCCATAGAGCCAAATGGAACAAGCAATGAAACATAACTTATAGAGTTGCTTAGTAATAGCAGCGCCTGCGACTCCAACGTAAAAGACAATTACATAAATAGTGACAAGAGGGCTGAATGATTTTGGTCGTTTGTATGGCTAAGTCATGTCCTAAAGAATCATCTTTTCCTACTTTGTGTGCAAATAATCTGTTTATTTCCTTCAAAGATATCTCACCATTTTCACATCATCCCCACAACGCTTCTTTATTGATTCTTAGTCACAACAATCCATTTATTATCAATTCTAGTAACCCAATGGAAAAGATTACGAAGGAAAAAGAGTAACAAAGTTCCACCAATCACTTTGGAATTTCAACAAACAGGTCATAGCTCCCTTCAATATAATTTCTCCGAATCATAACATACAAAATCAAAATGCAATGAATTTATCAGAGCATTATATTGTGATCAGAAGAATGAACAACAAGGTGCAAAGGAAATTACCTGTTCGTCGATGCAAGTGACAAATGTGATTGGGAAATTGTTTGCTTGAATAGGTCGTTCCCGACGAAATTGGCTATATTTGAAAATTATATCATCAGATAGGTTATTTGACCCAATTTCGACGTGCAAAATTAATCCATGGGCAGATTCTTCAATCACTCCCAAATGGAATACATATTCACCCAAAACCACTTTTCAAAGATTCCATTTGCATTCCCATTTCTTGCTTACTTAATTGTGGCGGTTTTTAGCAATAGGATGCGGTGCCGTCTGTGTTAGGAGAGAAGGAAGTGATGACGGAAGATAACTTTTTGGGATGAAGAAAGTAATGGTGGTGAGTGGTGGTGTGGTGGATACGGTTGGTTGTTTTATTGGGTTTGGTTTTGGGTTGGGGATGGGGATGGGGATCGGGTGGGTGTGGGCATGGGGATATAAATTTTTTTTATTTGAAAAATACAAAGTTACCCTTTTATCCCTTTAAAATTTGTCAAAATTTTGGTCAAATCGTTGACTTTATGTCAACTGACAGATGAACTAAGAGTGTGTTTGATTGACATGAAAAATATCATCTAGAAAAGAAAATATTTTCCATCTTTTGTGGAAAATAAAAACCATCTCTACCCAAAGAAAATATTTTCCTTAAAAACAAGGAAAATTAGACATATTTTCAAAAGTTGGAAAATGTTTTCCATGGAAAAAAATAGCAATCAAACACTCCAAGTAGAAATTTGGATGGAACACTGATATTTTCCATGAAAAATAAATGTAATCAAATACATTCTAACAGTTTTCATTCATCTAGACTCCAAATGCGAATTTTATAGGTTTGGTACCATGAGTGATACAAACAAAAGGTTTGGATCAAGTCTGCAATATAATGAAAAATTTGGTATCGAGACTATAATTTTCTCCCTTTTTTAATCAACTCGTGTCTTAATTAATTATTAGTATTAGGTGTCCAACTTTTAAAATATCGATTAAAATTTTATTTTTATTTATTTTTTAAAAATAACAAACTTTTTAGACAGTCTAAAAAAAAAGGTCGAACCCTAACCATGAAGATCCCTACCACCCCGTCTCTAGAGCATCGTGAGGGAGGTAAATTGCGGGATGTACCCCAACAAGTCGAGAAACAAGAACTTGTTCGTACACTGGTGTCCATAAAGAGTTCAATTCCATATCTCAGGAATCGAACCCTCATATTACGACTGCCAGCAAAGCTAAAACTACCTTATTCATATCCTTTGCACCATTGGGTTAAACCCCGAGGGACAACTTTTTAGATGAGCTTTGGGGTTGTGATACATTGATACTTGATCATAACAAGACAAGTGGGGCTCGACTGAGGGAAACGTTCGTGGAGGATGGAGAGGCACTCGTCATTCAACGTGGACTTTCAAATAAAATTTATTGGCTAATCTTATCCAATTTTAATATACCAAACTGTAATGTTTACATAAAATTACTAAATGGTCTCGCTCTCACTATTAGTTTGTAGGCATGTTGTAATATTTATGAACATATTGAAATCTAAATACAATAATTAAATTTTGAAACGGTAATATATAATTTGAAAGTGCTACATGTAGATAATTGTTTACATAATTATACGTGGCACTGAATTCAACCTTTAATTCAAATCTCACACTTACACATCAGTAATCGGATGATTGTCACATCACATTATGGATACCATTATATGTAATAATTATGTACAAATATAATTTTCTTATATAATTAGCTCAACTATATTTACTTTAAAATTAAAATTATATTAAACATCTAGAGAAAAAAGCGTGGTCCATTTCAAAATTGGGCATTTATAACACGTATCAATTTTGATTGATGACAAGAAAACAAACGTGCCGATTAGAGAGGTGGCGAAGAAAATGGCTACGCGACTTCCTCTACGAAAACAAAGAAAATTACAAGTCGGTTTCCATACCTCAAAAGCCCAGTATAAGAAAATTCAATTTTTTTCTACTTTTCAACCACACATTGTTCAAAAAGTCTCTAGTTCAAAATCTATTAAATCCAAAAATGGAGCTGAATAGGGAGTTAATGAATTAACAACTAATATATTCTCGTCTTTGATGAATGTATTCAACCACGTAAAGTATAATCGTTAAAAGTGCAATGTCGTGTCATAAGTAATAGCTAATATAATGTGTAGTATAATTCGCATTAATTCGGTCGATATGATGCTAATATGTGCTAGCTGTCATGGTGGATAATTACAATAATTGCAAGTAAATGAATTTCAAATTGGATGGTAGATGGTAATTGATGCATTCAAGAATTAGGGCAAGTATAACTTGTTGCCACATTTGCACCTCCACGCCTCGGGGTAGTACTCGGTAGTCACCGGTGTTCCAGGCGGCACTGGCACATGAACCGGTTTGCACGGCGTACATCTACCACATTTGGATGTGCAACGCGGTGGCGACGATCCCGGCCCACCCAATAGCCTTCTAGCCCCACCCATGCTCCATTTAGCTATCTCCCAATTATTGTTTTCCTCTAAATTCTTCTCTAATTTCTGCCACCAGTCAATTCAGATGTAAAAAATCGATTAGGAAAATAAAAAGAAAAATAGTTTAAAAGAAACCGACAGAAGTGGAACTATAGAAGATATTTGCTAATGTCCGCCATAAAGGGACCAGGGTTCACGAGGGTGCTGCAGAAAACATGGCTCTTCTCATTACGCTGATCGAACTCTACATTGTACTCGTATGTAGACGACAAACACCCATTTCTCGCGGTGCTAGTAGCTATCCTGCGCTTTTGTAATTGTAGCGTTTGATCCAAATTGTGAAGCCTTAGTAAAAGGAAAATGAAAATTGTACCTACGACAATTTAACTATTTTACATAATTACTTAAACACATACTTTGACCATTAGACCTCTATGTTCGAGTCGTTTTATCATTCGTATTGTCTGCTTTGAAAGAGTATTTCAGGAATTTTTGTCACGACCCCAAGTGATACCAAAATTAAACTTAAGTATTTCATAAGACAAACTAAAGTCTTAAATTTGAATTCTAGAGATGTTAAAGAAATTCGTAAGTAAAATGAACATATATTCTCTTGAAGCAAAAACAATACTTAAAATATAATGACTTGAGCACGAGGTTTGAATCGATACATCCACTTGTATTAAAAACAAAATTCGGCTCATAATCAATTCTCTGTGCGTGTGTGAGAAAGAGAGAGAGTAAGAGGATAAAACCTACACATGATTGATACGTGTAGATGTGAATAAGCAATAATACTTACCTGCAAGTAAATATCAGCTCCACGAGGCAAAACACAACTGGTTCCTGCAAAACAAACACCAAAATGGAGTGGAATTCTTGACAAATTAGATAAATTTTATGATTTTGACTTATGAAGAGACAAATATTGTTCATCAATTACCTAAAGGAGCTTCCTGGTTTTTGACACTGTAAATACCACGCAGACAAGAATAGCTGAAGAAGAAAAAGCAGCAGCAAAAAAGAAACTGAAGAGGGAATCTGAATTTGCCCATAAACCTCCGTCTTATAATCTTCCAGCAAAACTCCATTATCAAAAACAAGTAGTAGAGATCTCGAACAAAGATGAAATTCTTGCAGTTTATTTTACGACTTTTTAGACAAATTCTATTTCAAGTCTTCAGCCCCAGCCTGACTGTAAATTCTTACGCACCATGCAACAAGAATAAATTCCAGGCAAGACTTGGAGAACCATACCCTTATAGACTACACTTTTTTCAGATTTTACAGACAACCCGAATATGGACTCTGTGAAGTGTGCGTGTCTTTCTGGGGGTGGTGTGGGTAGTTATTGGGGTTCAAAAATGGTGCCAAGAAAACTAGATTTCAAGGACAGATATGCAAAGATATGCACTTTGCAGTGCCAAATACACAAAATTGAGAGATGGGTTGCTAGGGTGGGTAGATGAGCGTATGTAGGTGGTCACTTCCTAATTCCTATGCCTTGCCATGTTTAGAGCACAGATTCTCTTGCAGGCTTTTACTTAGTGTCTTCCAAACCCAGTAACACCCAACAAGTCTCACACTCTCTGCAGAAACCTCTGCTGCTTTCTCCTTTCCCCAAGTCTCTTCAAATAGAAATAATACTCTTTTGTTCTTTTACTTCTTCAAGAAAAAATGTACCACATACAACTTTAATTAGACTCCTAAATTCATCCCCAAAAAAGGAACTTAGTCAAAGAAAATCATGCAGTGTTAAAAATGAATTTGAGTCCATTTAGTACCAACTACCAATAGATTATAAGTACTTATTTTTAACAATGATCACTAAAAAATTAACAATTTTAATTAATAATTGACTTGTACTTAGCCAAGAAAGCAATTATAGCTTGAACAGTGGCGAATCTAGGAAATTATTTGACACAGGTTGACACGTCAAATAAATAAATAAATAAATCACACATAATTTTATTTTTTTTACTTAAAATTTTCTTTTTAATTAGCATTTGGGCTGAATGGACGAGTTTTAGCACAGCTCGGCCCATCCCTAGATCCGCCCCTGAGCTTGAAGATTGACTAATTAGCTCTGTTTAATTTTGCTAAAAATCAATTTTTTAGTAAATTTTGATAAAAGTTGATCGAGAGTGTGATTGAAAAGTAGGTAGAAATTGTATGTCCCATAATATGATTATAAAATAATTTTTTCATTTTTTTTCATTTTTTTTGACCAAATCAAACGGGGCTAAGCTCATGTAGGCGTGTGCTTGAATAAAAGTAGACCGAACATAGAAGTAACTTATAGTATTAATATTACAATATTGCATTATACAAATAAATGCGATATCTCACACTAAGTCCTTGTTTGAGTCACATTATTTTTTTAAGAATGCATTTTTGAATAGTGTATTAATAGGAAACGTGTAATTAAAAAATAAAAAAAAATTCGATTTACATGTGATATTATTTTATTGAAAAATGTGTAATTAAAATGATATCGAATCATTATTTAAGAATGTATTTTTTTGAAGGAATGTGGCTCAGAGCGGGGTCTCAGAATATCTTTCAAATGTTATAAACTATCAATAATGACATTAAAAAAAAAAGACTAGTCCCAAATTCGAATATCAAGGAAAGAACAAAAAATATATATAATTAATTTATAATGTGTTACATGTTCGTATATTTATTTAGAGCATGTATATTCTTTTAAGAACAAATTTTGTGAAAAGTATTTATTTATTTATTTATTTTTGAGAATATGTGGTTCAAAAGTATTAAAAAATCATAAGTTCCCATACAAAATAATTTTATGGATAGAATGTTTGATTGAAAAATAAGTTTGAAAAAAAAATGAATTATAAAGATTTTGTACCAACATGAGCTTAATTTAATCTTCAATAAGTTTATGTTATGTACAGGTTCTTTTTCCTCCTAACTTGTATTAAAGGCTTGATATATTTATGATTATATGCTATAATTCTTAAAAATGAGCTACGACAAGATCTGAACGCAATAATTTTTGACGAGGCAGGTCAATAATTTCTTGTGTTCCTCCATTCATCACTTGTTAGATTCCGAAGGCAAGGAGACAAAACATTAAAACCAAGAATTTGGTACCTATTTTTGGTACATCAAATTTGTGGGTTATGATAAGGATAAAAGTATTTGTACAAAATCTTGTTGAGAAAATGATATATTCACTCTCACAAAATTAACGGATCCCATGTGAATTTAAAAAATGTCGGCTAGTGGTCCTCCACCCCTATTGTGAGTAGTGAGTAAGGGAGTTTGTGAAAAATATTTATACATGTAGCATGATCCTTCTGATAATCTGTGCATGTATAGTGTACTCTAAAAAAATTATATCGTTGAATTATTCACTAAGATTGCTCGATGCAAATACAGCTTTACAAAGTACATACAATGTTTGCATTATTAGCCCCCTGTTTGGCCCACATTTCTTGAAATAAAAATGGATGGAATAATATTTTTTTTAAAAAATGAGTGGTTAAAAAAAAGGAAAAATTTTCGATTTACGTGTAATATCATTTTATTAAAGATTGTATTGTTAAAAATATAAGAGAAAAACGAGGGCCAAACGGGGGCAATTTAGTGGAAAAATAGGTTGTTTCACAGTTATCATTGAAGCTTAATATTTATATGCATCTAGTGATCTAGAAGCTTCAATAATGAGTTCTATAGAACTCACATTTTACGTCAATTTTTTATCCAAACATTCCGTCGAATCAATAACTTATAAATTACAAAAAGCTATTGATACACAATAGAATGTTTGTACAAGTTCAAAAAGATATCTTAAGTTTTTAAGGAATTTTATTCGAAGTGATTATATATTTTTATCATGAGTGTATTTGATTTGTTGAGTCCATTTTCACTCTCGAAAGAGATTTAGACGGGTATTCTTGTTTTTAGTTCTTGTTTGAAAGTGATTTAAAAAAAAAAAATAAAATCCTGACTTTCATCTTCAACTACATTTTTTAATTTTTCAAAAAAAAAAAAAAATTTTTTACTTTCAAACATGCTCTAATATTGTCAAATTCTGCAAGAATGCTTCAACCACAGAAAAAGTAATAATAATACTAAAGGAACATAGAAGTCTTCGGAATCCTGAATTGTTCGAAAATTAAAACTGATCAAAATTGACTTTGAAGTGCAATGAAATGTCACTTTTCGTATGGAATTCTCGGAGTGGTTGGAGCAGCTTGTTTGGGAGTGATTTTTTGGTCCAAAAATTGATTTTTTGATTATTATTTCACTATTTCAGCCATCATATTTGACTTCTTCTCTTACAGGTAGACTTTACTTTTCTCCTAACAGTCAAAAAATCAATTCTCAAAATCACTCCCAAACAAGCTCCTAGGAAGGAGTTTCAGTTTGAATTCGCATATGTGCTTATTCCACCAACCTAAGAAAATAATAAATGAAGCAAATGAAGTGTGTGAGAGACTAGTGCTATAATTTCGATAAATGAAAGTCGGGTCGATAATATTCCAACAAACTAGCTAAACTTTTGGCAGTTCAAATTCATGTATGTTGATTATCAGACCTAAGATGTTGAATATAGTTTTCATGTTTAAATGATGTCACATATTTATGCTTAACGTGCTCGTAAAAGATGATAACCCTATCGAAAAAGATAACAATCTTGGACTTCGACCTTATTTGAGATTTCTGACTTTAGTATATAGATTTCGTCTTAAAACGCTAACTTTGTTAAAGAGAAATAATTCAAATTTTATAGACTAAAACTTTTATATTCCAACGAAAAAATTTCTATTACATGAATGTGAAGTAGATGCATCAATGAAGAAGCAAACAAAAGGAGTGCAAAAAGTTGTAAATGACATGGGACCCGTTCGGGGTGTAGGTGTCCAATTTATACATCCTTGTTTGCTAAGACATTGTCAATTATAATTATAATTATTTTCATGTTGGCTTGTAGGAACAGTAATGATACTTGCACCTAATTATTTCGTGCACAAACTCTCATTTTAACATTAGACCAGTCATTGCACCGTTCATTTTTCTTAAAAAAATAATAAAACAAGTCCAAAAAATTTAGCTCGACTCAACCATGGTTCATTCCAAAACAAGTCTGAACCGTTCATTGGTCAAGTCGAAATAAACTAACGAAAAACTCAACCCTCACCTCTAATAAAACATGAACATCTAAGCTTTAGAAAAGTGGGATAAGGGTGAATTGAAAAACTCAAATAGAAAATGATAGAAAGAGAGCATGTGGCCTTCTTGTATGGCAAGAGAAAGGCAAAAACACAAGTCTGTACATGCACATGGAATACAATGTCATGACTTTTGACCTTTTTGTCTATAATCAATTAATCAGTAAGACTTTTCGACACAACTTATAGCTTCTACCATTGCATCATTTTTTTTAATGTGTAGTATACAAAAATAGCATACATAAAATAATTGATTGTGATGTTACTTGAAAAAACTTGACAAGAATCGTTTCTTCACTTACTTTTGTGCCTGTATGATAGAAATATTTGTGTGTTTGCTCGTGCATTTATGTTGGTGTGTTATGTTTGAACGTGGTGGAGGGAGGGGGAGAGAGGAGTGGTTAGCCTTTGTGCATCTTAAAAGGGTTGGATGTCGTAAGTTTTCGACGTCCAAGTTTTTACCATTGTAATCAAGAGTGAATATTTAGTTAATTTGGTGTAGAAATTTTATACAGTGCTTAATTCTTGATTTGAATCTTTATTCAAGTCGAGAATTAAAAAGAGTGTAAAAGAGAAAAATATTTTGTCTATAGGATTTTTCTAAACGGTGGATATTTTTAGAGTTGGACAAAACTTACGAACCGAATCGAATCGAACCCAAATTGAGCGATTCTTTTTAAGTTAAATATCCGAACGGATATCTAAATTGAGAACCGACGGATTCGATAAAGTTCTCGGTTCTAGATCAAGAACTAAAGAACGAATTTCAGTAATTTTTAATTTATTTATATTAAATAAACCAATTATTTTATTTTTTAAAATAAATTTGCTAATTACATTGAGCTCAAATTCAAAAATATGATTTTCCTATTTCTAAGTTTCAGTATAAGCCCAATTTAATCAAATTGACCCAAGTTTTACCCAAATTTGTTAGTCTACTGTAGTGCCTTTTTTACCGTTCTGAAAAAATCGAGTTGAAACTCGACAGCGCCTCTTTTAATTATTATGAGCTCGTTATCTTCCTCTTTCTGTGATTTTAACAATCAGATCTATGAAAAACTCGGCAAGAGAGATGTAAAAGACATATGAGATTGGACTATATTATTTTGTAAGAGTTAAGATTGAACATGCCAATAGTTGAATTAATGTAACCTTGTAAATATTTAAAAAATTTAATTATAATGCAAAACTTGGGAACCGAATGAAACCGAACCGAACCCGATCGGTTCCTTAATTAAATTTGGACCCGACGGTTCCACTTACTAAATACCTGAAAATTTCAAATCCGATTCGATTTTTGTTAGAATCGAATAGAATCATACCATGCCTAGCCCTAGATATTCTTATTCTGTTAGAGAAAAAATATAAAAAAGTTAGTGTAATTAAGGTATTCTCGACTTTTTCCTGGGATTTGCTACAACCCTTTTGTTAAGCTACTCAGGTCAATTTTCCTTCGAGTCATCATCAACGATCCAATAGTTATTGGGTCCTATATTGAAAGTAAATGCTAGAAGAGCAGCTCACTCAAATATCCCTATAGTGTGGGACAATTTAAAAACTGTGT